CCCATGTGGCTCGCGAGCTGTGGTTTGCCGACCACGGTTCTAGGGTTCCAACCTAGAGCCTACTACAGCCGTGGGCAAACTACGGCCCACGGGCCGGATCCGGCCCGTTTGAAATGAATAAAACTAAAAAAAAAAAGACCGTACCCTTTTATGTAATGATGTTTACTTTGAACTTATATTAGTTCACAGAAACACTCCATCCATGCTTTTGTTCCGGCCCTCCGGTCCAGTTTAAGAACCCATTGTGGCCCTCGAGTCAAAAAGTTTGCCCACCCCTGGCCTAGGGTGTTTACGGAGTCTTCCTCAGAAGGCCCTGGACACCAGTTTTTGTCAGATTCACTATTTTTTTTTCAGTCTGCCATATGCTCTGCTCAGCTGCTGAGGTGCTTTAGGGAAAACATGGCTCACCAAGCGCCAGGCTCCCCACTTGGGTGTCCTCCTCCAGATTCTGACTGTCTTCACTGCCCTGGTAGCTTTCTGATGCCATTAAGCAGAAGATTTTGTTGTGTTTTATCTTGACCTAGCTTTTCTAGTCATTCTTAGTGGAAAGGATGGTTTAAATTATTGTTTACTATTGTCTGCTATTAACTGAAATAGAACCCCCAGAGGTTTTTTAAAGCCATGTGAACTTCATCTACATTGTAATTCAGAAGGCATGTTACTCACTGGGCTTAGAAAGGATGTAGAGGAAACTGGAGGGAGTTCACAGGAGAGTGACAAAATACTAAAGTGATAAAAAATTGATTCTTGTCAGCACTTAGTACTCCACTTTCAACAATGGATAGATTATCCAGATGGAAAATCAGTAAGGAAACATTGGACTTGAACTACATTTTAGATCAAATGAACCTAACAGACATGCACAGAACATTCCATCTAACAGCAACAAAATGTACATTCTTCTCAAGTGCACATGGAACATTCTCCAGGATAGAGCTGTGTGTAAGATCATAAAACAAGTCCTAGAAAATCTAAGAAGGTTGAAATTAAAGCAAGTATCTTTTCCAACCACAATGGTATGAAAATAGAAATCAATAACAGCAGGAAAACTGACAACTTTACAAATATGTGTACATTAAACAACACACTCCTGAATGAACAACCAGGGGGCACACATTAAACAATACACTCCCCAATAACTGATGGGTCAATGAAGAAATCTGAAGGGAAATAAAAAATATATCTTGAGACAAATGAAAATGAAAAACAACATAACTGCTGAAGCCGGTTTGGCTCGGTGGATAGCACGTCGGCCTGGGGACTGAAGGGTCCCAGGTTCGATTCCGGTCAAGGGCATGTACCTTGGCTGCGGGCACATCCCTAGTAGCAGGTGTGCAGGAGGCAGCTGATCGATGTTTCTCTCTCATCGATGTTTCTAACTCTCTATCCCTCTCCCTTCCTCTCTGTAAAAAATCAATAAAGTATATTTAAAAAACAACAACAACATAACAAAACATATGATTTAGCAAAAGCAGTTTTAAGAAGAGACAAAAAGTTTATAGTGTTAAATGCCTACGTTAAAAAAGAAAGATCTTGCCCAGCCAGCGTGGCTCAGTGGGTGAGTGTCCACCTATGAACCAGGAGGTCATGCCCGGGTTGTAGGCTGGATCTCCAGTGTGGGGTGTGCAGGACGCAGCCGATCAGTGATTCTCTCTCATCATTGATGTTTCTACCTCTCTCCCTCTCCCTTCTCTGAAATCCATAAAAGTATATTTTTAAAAAAAGATCTTGCCCTGGCCAGTGTGGAGGGTCTTGCCTTCAGTTTGTAAAACAAACAAACAAACTAACAAACAAACAAAAACACAACATCTGTGAGGTGCAATAAAGAGAAACGCAATAAAACCAGGTATGGCTACATTTTCTGTATTGTACTGGTAAAATGGGGGAAAGAGACATTTTCTAGGTAGAATGTCAGATGATTTACGTGTTGGGATTTCTAAACACACTTTGTTGGGGGTTTCTTTGCAGACATTGTTTCCTTAATTCTCTTTTTAAAGTTACTTGAAGCCAATCCTCACACACAGTGGCCCCCCATTAACCACCACGCTCCCAGCCTGGTGTGGCTTGCTCGCTCGATGTCTGACCAGTCCCCAGGTGTATGACGTAAGTACAGCATGTTAGGGCGGCATTTCTATGCAGCCTCCAAATTCACAGAATTTGCTTCTCCAGTAAGATGGTTGATTACAAATGACCAGCTTACTATGCTTAATACATTGTGCACAGCAACAGAGAAACCTTTTACTAGGGTTATGGGGTTCCCAAATATCAGCAGCTATGACGTAGTAGAAAGATTCCTCTCTGTCCCTCTGAGGCTCCAAACTTTAAAAGAATGAACTACGTGCCGAGGAATCTCCCCCTGAAATCTGGGTGCTAAGAGCCCTGGGAGAGGTATTTTGACAGAAATGAACAAAAACAATATTTAGCACATGCCTTAATGGGAGAAATGGAACATACTAAAACAGGGAACGTGATGTCATTTGTTGTTAATAAAACTATCACCAGGCCCTAACCGGTTTGGCTCAGTGGATAGAGCATCAGCCTGTGGACTGAAAGGTCCCAGGTTCGATTCTGGTCAAGGGCATGTACCTTGGTTGCAGGCAAAATCCCCAGTGGGGGGTGTGCAGGAGGCAGCTGATTGATGTTTCTCTCTCATCGATGTTTCTTCTTCTTTTTTTTTTTAAATATATTTTATTGATTTTTTTACAGAGAGAAAGGGAGAGAGATAGAGAGTTAGAAACATTGATGAGAGAGAAACACCGATCAGCTGCCTCCCGCACACCGCCCACTGGGGATATGCCCGCAACCAAGGTACATGCCCTTGACCGGAATCAAACCTGGGACCCTTCAGTCCGCAG